AACCAAAAAAAAAGTGATTTATTCATCAACAAAATCCGAAAGAATATATGGGGCAGTGAGCGAATACTGCAACCACCGAACAATTGTTGATCATTGATTTATTACGCATTCCAAAAACATATTTGTATAACCGTGTGACTAGTAGTTGATACTGCTACTGATCGATATGTTGTGAGTTGAGTATCATAACCTCAAATAAATAGCTTAATACAGTGGCGTAACGTACATTTCTGCCACCCGAAGCGAAACCTAAATTTACCGCCCTTCCTACTTTCTTTGGCTATTTTTTATGATTGATATGGGGACAGGTTAGTGATTATGTTAGTAATATTTATTTTTATGATTTTTCTGAAAAATTTAGTAGATTCCGATTTGATGTTTTATGGTTAAGAAGATTTTAAGAAAATACACAAGTTGNCCCTCAGTAAATGCAGTTTATATGCCCTATAACAGTGGCGTAGCGTATATATCTGCCACCCGGAGCGAAGACTAAATTTGCCGCCCTTCCTATTTGTTTATTTTTTATGATACAGAAACGGGGGTCTGGTTAGTGATTATGTTAGTAATATTTATTTTTATGATTTTTCTGAAAAATTTAGTAGATTCCGATTTGATGTTTTATGGTTAAGAAGATTTTAAGAAAATACACAAGGTGCCAATGTTTACGTAAGCATTAGGGGCTTTTTTTCCATACGATACACGATTTGTAAATTACAACAAAATTATTAACTTTAATTCAAAATGTGTTAATTTACTAAATTACGTAAAATTAAGCATGTGTATTTGCGAAGGACTCACATAAGTTACTTCATTTATATACATAACTCAGAATAATAAGCGGATTTTGAGGATTCATCTTAGGATTCATGAAGAATTGAAAAGATTTCGGTTCTTCAAATAGCTATCACGATCCTGATCGTCACTATTTTATTGTAGCTATAGGGTTTGACCATTCAACTTTCAACTTTTACCATATTGGCTACGAAAAAATGCCGTTTACAAGACAGATACTTTTCAATGCTTGCTACATCATACATTTTATTAAAAATCGATACAAACACTAAGAAATTGGGGTATCTAACATTATTGTAAGGCTTTCTATGTAATACCGAAAAAACTATTTCAACCGTCCATACTTTTCCGCCGCCAAGGGCTCAGATGGTCCCCCCCCCCTCCGCAAATCATTCCAACAAAGAAAATTATTCCTTAAACTTATAAAATACTGCTGTACTTAAAAATTATGCTAATTAAAATGAAGGAGAGAAATTACCGACCCGTTATGTAAATTCAATCTATTAAATCTTTATTGTTTTTCAAGAATAATAGTTCTTTGTTTATTGATAATTTTTATTACAGATCATGAAAAATACATGTTGATTGAAACCGTATATTAATAAATCTTGGAATGACTAATTGTAAAAAAACAAGTACGTTACATAACCAATATAGATTCATTACCCATTCAAGCTAATTTTAGATCACTCTTTCATCGATGCATAAGTTGGTATAATCGTCCTTACACATAAACGTTCTATGTTGGCATTAAATAATAAGTCTTCCATTACTTTCAAACAACCATGAGTAGAATATTTTATGATTTCCGTTAGGTTCAATACTTTTTTGGCACAAAAGATAATGTGCCAGTTACTACGGTTCAAGTAAGTAGGTATATAAAGTTATTGAAGACGGATGAGAATACGAGTAAGTATTAACTATTACAGCACAAGAACAAGCCCCTCAACTATTTTGTTTTTGTTTGTGTCTATTTTAAATTAGTTAGTTCGTTAGGTTTAGTTTTCATTGATATGCAATTGGAAAACATGAATTTTTACACCCAAGCGGTCGAGCCCTTTACACTGTTGCGTATTGCGTGCCATTCAATACCAGACCTTTAATTTACGCTACAAAGTCATGCAAATCTGATGTCACGGAAAACCACAATTTTTTCTAAAAATAAAATTTTCATTTTCATTATGAATGTATCGGTCAAGAACACTTTTATCCTTCATATCAAGAGGTAAATTATTAACCACCAGCAAGACATGCGTTATAAAATCGAAGAACTCTACCGTTCACCAGCTCCCCGTGTATAAGTAAGAACAGTGAAATTTGGAGCCCCCAACTACATTATTTGTATTAAGTTGCATCAGAACAGACACCATTGCGAAATCGAATGATTTGCGGCACAAAACCCTCTCAACTCATACATCCTTCCGTCCTGACTTATATGACTTCCTAGATACCTAAGATCAGCCACTTCTTCTAACCCTTCACCTCCTATCTTTATATTCGCTCTTTCCTTCCTTTGCATAACAGTATTTAATTTTTGTTTTGTCAATACCGCTTCCATTTTATTTAAAGCTATCCCTAACTTTTCCTTACTGGATATGCTAATACGACTATATATATTATCTGCAAATCTAAGCATACTAAACTTTTGCCCCTATGTATCTATCCCTACGATTGTACTGTCTTTAGTGATGTTGATCGCGTCTTCGATGTATAGATTAAAAAGTAGAAGTCACAATGTGCATCCTTGTCTGATTCCCTTCCTAATATTTACTTCTCTACATTAATACTCCAGCTCTATAACTGCCTATTGCTCTTTATACAAACTAAGTATCACTCTTCTATCTCTGTAACTCATCCCTACATTTTTAAGTATATTTAACATCTTGTCCCATTTAATATTGTAAAACGCTTTTTCTAAATCAACAAATCCTACGTGCGCACTCTTTCCTTTTCCTATCGGTCCTACCAGTAAAACTAGAATGACCTTCTGCGTTCCTCTATTTCTTCTGAACCGAAATTGATCTTCCCCTAATAGTTCTCCGCCTTTTTTTTCCGTTTTTTTTGACGCATGGGAAGTTAAGTTAATTGTTCTAAATGTCTCGCACCTTATCCGCGTCTCTCCTTTTAGATATGGTTATTACCAAGTTCCATTTATATTCCTCCGGGACTTTCCCCGTCTCGTAAATGTGAGTAACTAGTTTAATCATACTACCTATTGGTAACTTATTCTTTAAGTTTTTTAATGCTACATCGAACTCTTCTCTCAATATGGGATCACCTAGTTAATCTACCTTCACACTATCTTCCTTCTCTAAATTCTTTAAATATTATTTCCACCTACCTGCCTTTTCCTCATTTTCTATCAGAGTGGCCCCTAACCTCGTTTCTTATTACTACTGTACCCTACTTCTCTAAAATTGTTTTTAATTATATTATAAGCCTCATCCGTTGAACCTTCTTCGTCTGAGTATCAAAAATAAAGCAAGTACCTAATCGACCTAAACTAACCATAACCTGACCTATAGAAGGTGCATAATTTCTCTTTTTAATATTATACACCTCTTGGACGTTAGACTACGATAAGTTTAGAAATTACTCTGTTAGAGGTAGTTGCATATTTATTTGGTTTAGCTGTAATCCTGCCTATGAATTAAGAGTTAAAAGCAGTCTGTGTTGCAAACGGTTAATAAATTTCATAGCGCTGTGCTGGTGTAAACTGTACACAAAAATGATGAAGCAAGGGGTAAATTAACAACCCGGAAGCAGGCATGCGTTATGAGAACGGAAAACTCCACCTGCCACCAGCTCCTGGTCTATTAGTAATAGTGCAAGCGAGTTCGCATGAAGGTCCTTCAATTAGAGAAAAGCTGCAAGTATTCACGATTGGAAAACCTCAGAAGAAGTGGTTGACTTTGAACACCTGTTGCATCTTTTACTACCTTGCAGGATCTTTACGTGAACACGCTTATTTATCGAATACATATTTATATTTTCTTTGAGATCCCCGGCGCAGATTAGAAGAAATTAATCGAGTAATGTATGGAATGAAAACAAAAAGTTGCATGAAATTCGACTGTTCTCGTTTCATTAATTATTTCAAGAGTTCGAATAATATATAATAAAAAATAGCAAATATTTGCAAGCAACTATGCTTAAATTTAAAAAATTTATTTAGAATATCCAAAGTCGTCAACATTCCCCCTGTTCCAATAATAGTGATGAAGTCCACCAAGGATACTGCTGCAGTTTGTAAATACACATTAATTAAAATTCTTCCTTCCTATCTATCTACTTCATTCAATCAGAAGAAAAATAATTCTCACAAATTTTTATCGACTTGTAACATACATTTTCCCAACAGTAACATGTAGTTTCTATATCATCCCCTATTTTTGATCGCTAAAATGTGGAATCGGAGCCAATTTGATTTATTAAATCAAAACAAATAACCAATCCTTACAGTTCTACAATTCTTAGGCTTTTTCAATGCAAGGTTTTTAGTTAATAAAGATTTGGAAACTATTAAATGTTAATAAAATAACCTACCTTGAGAACCCAAAGTATTATAGGTGAATGTTGGTTGTTGGATTTGATTCTATAAAAACATGATCCCCTTCAAATTAGCTCTGATTCCACATTAGTAGCTCATACATATATTCGAACAAGAGTAAATTAGTATTCTCTAATACCAATTAACTAATAGCTTTTACTCTTGCCTGAAGAAGGTAATGTTTGACGAAAAACATTATAAATTAATTTAATTTTGTGAAAACTTTCCAAAGTTGTGACAGGTTTCATCAAGAAGTAAGTCAGGTAAATATGTCACTCGCTAATATCTGATCCTAATAATAATTATATTTAACTAGTTCATCATCAAATGCCATTAAATAGGCTTCAGTAAAATTTAAGATAAGACAAGCTAGAAATCTAATTCGTTAATACACGGGTTCGCGTTAGGGTGCTGCCAGGAAGTTGCAGGTGCTCACAATCAAACCGATTGTTCCCTTCTAATACTGCTTGGGTTTTTGCCAGTCGTGAACACATGCATCGTTCTTCCAATTGCATCGTCTTCACATGAGCAGAAATGATTATTATTACATTTGTGCCTTCAAATATTATAGTATACTTAACAATTTCATAACGTACGTATTCGTGTACGCATGTTAAGAACGCTTTAGTGAATACAGATATTCAAAATAAACACTTACCACTAACATTTACAGTTGATTGTAGATTAGGACGAAACCCTGTAACAAAATTGTCATAATGAGTACGTTTTCTAACAAGACTCGAAATATAAATTTTCTTGTAGTAGTATGTAGGTACTTAAAAAACTGAATTATACAAACAAAATAATGCTTCTTTGAAGTACACTGAAAATGCAATTATCTGTTTCTCATAATTATTAAAACTAGTAACGAATTAATTTGAAAGCGATATATATGAGAATCTATATATAAATACTTCACATGAATATTGCAAGATACATTAATTTATGGTATTTGTAATAGTGAGGCAAATTCCTAATAACTTAATCAGTTACAGACTAAGCATTCAAACCAACTGTTCGATTTACTCAACTGGTTTTTTCATAATTGAAATAAATAAATCGAACAGGTTATGGGCCCAGTCCCAGCTTGGTTATAGTGCGAGTAAAGTGCGTGATTACGGGTTTAAACAGTAGAACGGTCGAATATTAAAAATTAAAGTAAAGTTAAACAATGGCAGACTCATCGGGTTTTCGGTTTGCTATTCAAAAACTAAATGGTGAAAATTATGCCGTTTGGAGTTACAAAGTCGAACTTTTACTTATAAAGGACAATTTGTGGGACGTGATTTCGGAACCAGCGCCTTCTCCGGTTACTGAAGAATGGTCCAAACGCAATGATCAAGCACGTGCAACAATAGGTCTTCTTGTTGAAGATAATCAGTNATTAAAATAAAACTGTAGCGGTAAATACAAAATTCTACAAAAAACAACCGCTTTGAATTTAACTGTAACAATGGCACAATTTTCACGGTCAAAACACAAACACGTATCTTCAAACCGAAATAAAGGCTAATTTCACATTAGGGCTGCAGGTTGCCATTTTTGTAAAGAAAATAGGAAAAAACATTCAGTATGACAACTTTGTAGGTTTTCGTATATTAATAAGACATCCGGTCCCTATTTGTACACAACCTTGCTTCCGATCTCTTACGACTGGTAAAAGCAGAATTCAATTTAATAATTGAACAATCTGCGACAATCAAAAATCTCACGGTAGTTCCGAAGGATAGCAGTTTATGACCTTTCGGAAATCAGTATGCGTTATACGCCAGTAGTTGTACTAAACCCAAGCGTCAATTTGAGCTTAGATGTTTTTCTTACCTAATTCGCTACCTATATTCTATCTTTCACTTGATCCACAGGCAATTACTGTACATACAACACAGGCCGATAAATATTCAACAATTAAAGCAGAATATAGAAGACACTGTGTGAGATACTGCCAGTAGTATGAGAAAATGAAAAACGCTTTGGAAGTAACTCCGATTTCTTGTGGAGCTAGAAGTGGCAGATCTTAGCATAAATTATTATTGTTACACCAAAATGAAGCATTAAGTGGTACAATAGTTTATCAGATACCTTGAATTTTACCCACTACAGATTCATGAGGAAAAATTGCTGCATTAAACCCTCATTAATTTGAGAATATCCATTTTGGGTAAAATTAATTCAAAAATTAATCCACTAACACAATAATAGTTTATGTATCGAGCCAGTGATGGTTTCTAACCTGGGGGGCGTGAGACCATTGTAACAGAGGCGGGAGCGTAGCTATTACTGAAATATCATTTTTGAATATAAAAGAATCAAAGCGGTATCGACAAGACAAACGCAGCGAGCATTTATGAATTTGCATTGTCACGAAAATTGACGCGTTCTTAGTAGGAGCGTCGGTCAATAACTGATTTAGGTAATTGGGTAGAACTTTGTACATTATTACAAAAGTTTTAAGCAAAATATAAAAAGACAGGAAGTTCATTGACTAGGTACAGTAAATTGTACATGACAGCCTAATAACCGCTTGCGCTTGTGCTAAAAATTATTCATTAGAATGTTTATTTTGAGTAGCGGGCGCCGACTTCGTGAGCAACTCAGTATCTCATAAACCATGCCTGTGACAAGTAATAGTCAGTGCAGCAAACATATGTATATAAAGTACCGTGTATGTATGCATAAATGGTTGTATTGGTACTTTGTTCATCGTTACGGTTATCTGTACCGCCGTGTCCATCCGTCGTTCGCACACAAACATCATTGTACGTAAACACAAAACACACATGATGCCCTCGTCGCCCGCCGCTGCAGAACGGAGATCCTTACAGAGACATGTTTACGACGGTGTTGCCCTTATCTGCATCTAAACGATGCACCGAGCGCATCCTTTTTAGGGAAAGCAGACGTATGATGTATTATTATTACTTCATTTTCCTATGCTACACGGAAGACTAGCGGTACTTATTAAATGCGACAACACAACTGCAGCATGCCTGTTAGCAGACCCGAGTGAAGACGTGATGTGGCGTGGGCTGCCTTTTTTTTGTTCTACGAATATTATTAGTAGTTCATCCCAGAGCGATGCAGAGGCTGCCGAGGACAACTGTAATTTACTTTAAAAGTAACCAGTTCACGTTGTAGGTCAGGAATACGAGGGTGGATTGATAAGTTTCCGGCCTAACCAAGAGATGACGCCACTAGGCCTACCTTGAGGTGACATTCTATAGTACCATCCTTGGATAGCTTGTAGCTATAGTTTCAGCCNTGGCTTTTTTTTGTTCTACGAATATTATTAGTAGTTCATCCCAGAGCGATGCAGAGGCTGCCGAGGACAACTGTAATTTACTTTAAAAGTAACCAGTTCACGTTGTAGGTCAGGAATAAGTAATGTTGCGTACGTTTCTAATGATGTACGATCTTACAGGAAAAAGAATGTAAGAGCAACGGCAAAAAATATATAGAAGACATACGATGAACCCAATGATCATTGGTGCAACATCAGCGTTTCATGTGTTCCATGGAACACGTGCCCCGAAGTCAGGGAGTCCGCAAGGCTTGGTTACTCTGATATGTTGAAAAGGACAACCGTTGATTTGGTAAAGAATTGCAAATGTTCAACATCTTTTTCTGGAAATAGAAAGAATCGCCCCAAAAAGCAATATGACGAATCGAGTCAACATCATCATATTGAAAGTGATGAAAATTATTAGAGTTAATGTCGGGTAACCGTTATCCAATACTTTTGACACCATATCTATACCGTAACATCAATGCAGTATCGGTTTTACAATTGATTCCCCTGCTTCTTTTTTTTTTTTTTGAGAAGATAGGTTGGTAGGAAACCTTCTCAGGCAGAAGGTCTAGTCAGAGACAGAAACGGGAGTAAGGATGGGAAAAGGTAAACCTAGATTAGATTACTGTTCGCAAATAGTTAAGGATGTGAGTTGTTCTAGTTTTAGGAAAATGCGAAGATTAGCTCAGGATAGGAAAGGCTGGAGGTGCGTATTCAACCAGTCTTAGGAATGACGACCTTATGATGATGATGATTGAGAAATTCACCTGACAAATTTTCTCCGTAGTATAAAAGTTTTGCTCGAAGGATGAGGATGAGAGATAATTTCAGGTCAACTAATGTCTTCTGTCATTCTTACAAGAAATTACCCCTCAAGTAGTTGCTTTTCGGTCAGTTTTTAACCATTTCAGTTATTATCACAAAAGTAGAAAGGTTCTTCTCAAAGTTGAAAATAAGTAAGGGAATGTGGGGTAAACAACAGTTAGCCCTCTAGCTATTATTTTGATTAAAATTGACGAAGACATAAAATATTCGAAGTTTCATGAATGCAAAAGCTTCAAGGAAAAATTTATAATTATTACTAAATTTGCATGTGTGATTAAGTTTACATTCTTTCTCATAAATTTTACATTTTTTGAGATCCCCTTTTCCCTTCAAGCACACATTTTTGTTACTACAGCTCGTTCTATTAAAATAAAACGATCTTGAATTGCTGCTGTTCCGTTTTTCTTCTTGTCCAATGGCGTGTGTTTGACCTGGTTTATGAATTTACTGAAAATTTATTTTTAATAGTAGGTTTACCTTAAGCTTCATTATTTATCTACCTATCTATTTTGCTAATAAGTTCATAACGCGAATCAAAAGCATATCCGCAACAAATGGGTTGCATCATGATACCGATACATCACGGCTGTTTTAATTGTACCATACCACAAAGTGCTGCAAATTTCAGGTAAAAACAAAGCATCATTCGTGCGCGGTGTACATGTTCAAACGTTTATGTAGCCTGCTTTTATATACAAGAAGCAGGCTACATTTAAAAAAATATTCTAAACATTGGTTGTAGTTTGTAAAAAAGAATTAACTTTCACTTTTTTAGTGGTGGGTTAATTTTGATAGGTAGTGTACATAGAATAAAATTGAAATGAAATTCTTAAAACTAAGAGTTTTTGTTATTATACTCATAACACTGAAACATAAATAAATAAATTTTCTCTATCAACTTAAGTCATACCCGATTAAGATATGAGACACCTGCTGAGACAGAACAATAGAATTTACCGTTCTTAAAAAATAAATAGTTCACACATTCTCTTGAAAACATAAAATAAAGCGTTCTAAAACTTCAAATTAAAAAGAGTAGAAGAAATAGGACAAAATTTATAGCCACTTCTAAATAGTAGCACCATGGCATCGCAAGAATCTGAATAATCCACGTTTTCAAGAAAAACCGCCCATTTCATGAAGCACACATGTAAAATAACAACTGACTTATGAGTACTTCTGTCAAGTAGGTGATGTAACTGATGAGATATATAAACCTCTTGTCATGTTCTATCTGTGAGAACAGTGCCACTCATCGTTGGTTTCCTCATAGTAAGCTCGCATGGAAATCAGGTAGTCGCTACCTACCTACACATACAAACATCAGCAAAAACTAAATGCAGCTAGAAGGTAGGTATAAGAGGCAAGTAGATAGATAGGTAGGTGTGCTCTGTCGTAAAAAGGTACATTTACGTTACACGCTCGTGATATACCGAGTACACATTTGGAAAGTAAAAAAGGGCAAGTAGATATTCCTTGGAATAGCTCAAAGCGCAGATATCCACATTTGCATAGATAATTCTATATGCACTGATTACAAGCTCCATAAAGAGAAAGCTGGAAGGTGTATCCTGGGAAATCGAGTA